GAAAAAATATTATAGAGAAAATAGGGGGATATGGGATTCGAACCCAGGTCCTGAGGGGAATTCTATGCCATGCTTGCCACTACGCCACTTGCTTCTTATTGTTAATATAATATAAACTAAATATAATATATAAAACAAAAGTTAATGGACTGAAATAAAAAAAATGCGCGCTCGTTTGAATGGACGAATGCTGGGACGACACGCCTTCATCCCCTTCCTCTGCACCGTGGCTAAAAGTACAAAGATCTATACCCACGGACAACGTCCATAGCTATACCCCTGTCCACTCTCAAAATTTCGCACAGGCCATGTAAATAAATTCTAACACCATGGTTAGACTCGTCTCCTTCTTCTGAACTTAGTGGTACCCATTATTAAGGCCAATTGTACCTGAAAACGAAAACCCTAAAAGCAAACTCGAAACCCTAACTATGGTGAATTTCGATTCAGTCCATATAAATGAAATTGGCTATTGGCAAAAGCTTGCAAACATCATGGTGATCAAGAATATGTAATTATTTTTCATTATAGATGCAAGAATGAAACTTTTCGAATTCAAGAATATAGTGATTTCGTGAAAGACTTACAGTGCGTGTGAGGGCTTGAAAACGTGTGGTTTTGCTTGCTTTAGGTTCCTGAGATTGCCAGGAAGAGATTGAGACAAGTACCAACCCTTGAGGACGTCTCTAACCTCTGTTTCGATCTCACACTTTTCTTTGTATTTTCAGATTTTTGTTCTTGCTCTATGCTTGATCTCCAACCTTGTTTTTTATTTGCACGCAACCCTTATGTATTGTACAATGCATTAGGGTTGTTTATTCAGTCCAAACCTCTCTCTTTCAATGCTTTTGATATTTGATTTGATTCTTCTTTAAAGCTTTCCAAAATTGGTCCAAATCCAATCCATTTGTACACAATTGCCTTGATACGAGTTTGATTAGTCCTATCTGTGTAATAAGACCGGCAATCATCACCAAATCCTTGGTTTTAATGTTTTTTGGATTTTATTTGATTTAATTTGATTTAAATCAAATTAATTCAAATAAAAATCAAAATAATTAATAAAAATATAATATGGACACATGGCCAAGGCTAGAGCACGTGGGCTATAATGCCAACTCAACACAAGTGAAAAAGAATGAGCCCATTTGGCAAAATTTGAAGTTTTGGACATGGTTGACCTTTGGCAATTTTTCAAAAAAGTCCAACTTCAACAATGCATAACTTCCTCAATTTTAACTCTTTGTAGGTGTTCTTGGACTTTTTAGAAATCTTGAGATGTCCTATAACCAACCCTTTTTGTCTCATATCAATTTGATATTCCATACTCATGTATGAAGCTTTGACAAAAAAAGTGTTTTTGTTGACTTTTCAAAATGACCTATAATGTCCAAATTCATAACTTCTTGTGAGTGCATATTTTGATCTTGGGAGCTGAAATGGAATGTAGGGAATTGCATCCTCTTCAAAATGATATTTGGATGGGTCATTTATCATAAAGTATGAGAAAGTTATGCTTGGTCAAAGTTGAGTTGACTTTTCCTACAAAACCCTAATTTAGCAACTTTTGAGTCTTGATGAATCATGAACAATCCTTGATGAATCATGATCAAACCTTGATTAAATGATGAAATATACTTCAAAATGAGAATGTTGACCAAAAATATTGAAGTTTGACTGTATGTAGGTCACAATTGACTTTTGCCCTAACACAATCAATTTTTTGACCTTTGAGCAATTGACTGAGCAAACTTTCTCTGCAAGGCTTGAAACTTGACATGAATGATCTTGAGAATATATTAGGACATTGGTGAGCATTTGGGACCACTTGGACTCAAGGATATTGATGCAACACAAAACCCTAATTTGGGGTAGACTGCCTTAGGAGAGAGCTTGTCTGGCCAACCCTTGGACTACCTTGAGCAACTTGAGGATCTTTTTGACATACTTTGAGAAATATGGGAGGGAAAATTTTTGGGTGCAAAATTTTACATAAGGCACTTCATGATGAGAAATCGGCGGACATCACAACCATTGGTTGGAGCGAGATGAAGGATAAGGCTGTATGGTTTATAAGACTTTGTGTTTCTTATAATGTAATGAATCATATCCTAGACCTCACAACTCCGTAGGATGTCTGAGATAAATCAGAAAACAGTACATGTCCAAGATGCTTATGAATAAATTGTTCACGAAACAGCATCTCTATAGTCTGACAATGCAAGAAGGAGGTGATTTGCATGCTCATATCAAATATTTCAACAACATCCTCTCTGATTTAACACAATTTAGTGTGAAAGTTGACTATGCAAATAAAGCCATTATTTTGATGTGCTTTTTTACCAAGCCCTTATGATGACTTGGTGACCACTCTAACATACGGGAAGGAAACAATTACACCGAAGTCTATTTCTCATACCCCATTGCAACACTTACAACATTGCTAAAGTGTAAAAGAATTTGGAGGAAGTTTAGGTGAAAGTTTGTTTTTGAAGAGAGGTCAAGAGCATGGCAGAGGCAAGTGCAAGACAATAGGTTCTGGAAAGAAAAATAGGTTCAAGTCCAAGGAAAGAAAAACAACAGAATGTTATGGTTGCAAGTAAATTTCCCATTGAAGGACGAACTGTCTAAACAAGTCAGGAAACAATAGTTCACCAAATGTAGTTCAAATAGATGGTTCCTACAGTGAAGAGGAATTTCTTTGAATTTCATCTGTAAAGTGCACTGATGCATGAATCATTGTTTCTGGATGCTCCTATCATATGACACCGCATTGGGAATGGTTCATCTATTTTAAATCAGGTGATTTTGGTTGTTTATTTAGGTGATGACAAAACTTATACCATTACAGTAAAGTGGAAAATTAAAATTGCTTTGGATAATAGTGGCGTGCGCACATTGATTAAGGTGCATTATGTTCTAGAATTGTGGAAGAATTTGATTTCTCTAGGTAATCTTCAAGTGAATTATTATTTATTCTGATCTGATAGAAATATAGACATCATGTGGGTTAGCAAGGGTGCAATGACAGTGATGAAGGCAAGGAGAACTGTAGGAAACATTTATAATTTTTTGGGGAGCATATTTGTAGGTGATGTAGCATCTGTTGATATTGATAATGATACAACCAAACTGTGGCACATGCGCTTAGGTCATCACAGTGAACATGTGATGATGGAACTACATAAGAGGAATTTACTAAAGGATGTTCACGATTGCACAATTGGATTGTGCAAGTATTGTGTTCATGGGAAGTATTGTAGAGTTTATTTCAAGACCAAACAACATAAGACCAAAGGAATCTTAAATTATGTCCATTATGATGTCTAGAGGCCAACAAAAGAGCCCTCTGTTAGAGATTTCAGGTACTTTATGACATTCACTGATGATTTTTCTCATAAGATCTAGATTTATTTTATGAAATATAAATTTGAGGTCTTTAACAAGTTCAAATTGTGGAAGGCAGAGGTTGATAACCAGACAGGGAGGAAAATAAAGTATTTGCAATCTAATAACTAAACCAAACCAAACAACATTATGTTACAATTTACATTCAAACTTGACTTGAGTATGTTTTCTTAGTCTCTGTTTAATCACTAATTTTCATAACTACATTGTATGACTCATAAGTTTAACCCCATATAATTTGCACAATTTTATATATCTCATTTACTCTTATGGATTGGAACTAGAGTGTTTTTCTTCATTCATTTGACATTTGCTTTACCTCGTAATTTCACTATAGAGTTTGGTGAACCACTCAATATCTTCGATCTTCAAAGATTTTACACACTTTAATAGGTATATTGTATGGTTCCACCACTTTACTATTCTTTTTAACACTTTATTTACCTTTTATTTTTTAATCTGACGATAATAAATATAGTTTTGATCTTCTTCTCATATATGTTAATTAAAATAAATATGTATATATATATATATATATATATATATATATATATATATATATATATATATATATATATATATATATATATATATATATATATATATATATATATATATATATATATATATATATATATATATATATATATATATATATATATATATTTATTAACAAATATATCAATATTAATTATTATGTATGAGTAGGGGTGGAAATAAGTTAGATCAATTAATAGAAGCTTACGATCTAACCTACATAGATTCAAACTAGGTTAAATTTTTTTATAAGTCTATTTAATTAAATAGATTAGATTGCATACCATAAAAACAGTCTTTTAAGTTTATCATACTGGTCTATTTACAAAATACGAATATATTTATTATTATCATTATATTGTATTTGTATTTTGAATTTAAATACAAAAATAAAGCTTAGTAATATTAAAGAACCTATGAAAATAAGCTGATGAAATTATATAAACAATGTCATAAATTGTTTCATTAGTTATCTTATCACAAAATTTAAGTTAATTGATAAATTTGAATAAATCAATACAAATAAATATTTAATTTCGTTGATCTTTTAGTTTGTTAATCTATTTAAACTTAATTAAATTATTTAAATACAAATATTAAAATAAAATAGATTTTTATATCAACTAATTCACCAATTAACTTTCAAAAAGACTACATACCTAAAAATAATTCTATGATAAATTAAAGGTAAAACTTAAACTTTATAAATTTTGACAAGTAAAACTTTGACAAAACATAGCTCAGCCCATCTATTCATACCCTTATGTATGAATATAAACTATACTTACAAACTCTTGGAAAATGTGATGTGACAAAAGAGCCCCTAGAAGATTCCAAAAACTATACAGCTTTTGAACAATAAACCCCAACACGACGGTGACAAACACTTGTCTTGATTCCATTTCAATGGCTACCTAGCTACTTAGTTTCTTCATTCAATTCACCTCTCTTTCTCTCTCTATAAATTCATAACCACACTCTCTCCTCAACACAAATTTCAACTCTTACTTTAGTTGCTTGTGCAGTGCACACAACAACATAGCAACAAAAAAAAAATGGTTGGAAATTCCAATAGAGTTGATACCTTTGAAACCATTAAAATTCAACCAGAGATACCAATGTTCCAATCACCATTTGAAATCCATAAGGTGAGATTGCCACCACAAAGAACCACTCTTCAAAAACTTAGACTTAGACTCTCTGAAATCTTTTTTCCTGATGACCCTTTTCATGGATTCAAAAACCAAACTTGGATCATCAAGTTTCTTCTTGCTCTTCAATATTTGTTCCCTATTTTTCAATGGGGTCCTCAGTATAATCTTAAACTTCTTCGCTCCGATATCGTCTCCGGCCTCACCATCGCTAGTCTTGCCATTCCTCAGGTACACTCGTGTAAAGACTTTCGCGATTTAAATCGTTACAAATTTTGTGACATTGATTACGTTCGTCGTAGTTGTAATAGTATTACTTTCAACACCTTTCTATATTATTTTAAAACCTTCGTGACAAAATCTAAGTTTTAAATAGGAGATACATTCCTCACAATTAAAAAATCTCAACAAAAAAATATTATGACCATGTTCATCTTGCATGCATGGATTTGGTTTTATTAATGCATATTATTATAGTAAAAAAAAACATTTTTTAAGGATATAAGTTAATATTTAATTTAATGAAATTTTTCCAAAAAAAATTGATTTTTATTTTTTTGGATTTTTGCAGGGAATCAGTTATGCCAAGCTTGCAAACTTGCCACCTATTATTGGATTATGTTAGTATTATTCATTCTTTGTTTTTTAGTTGATCTATAAAAAATTACATAATATATATATGATTTTTTTAATTATATATAATAATAATTTTAATAATTAGAATTGTTATTGTTTTGCAGATTCAAGTTTTGTGCCTGCTTTGATATATTCAATACTTGGAAGTTCTAAACATCTTGCTGTTGGTCCAGTTTCAATAGCATCATTAGTTATGGGATCAATGTTAAGTGAAAGTGTTTCCTATAATCAAGATCCAATTCTCTATCTTAAATTGGCTTTCACTTCAACTCTTTTTGCTGGTTTATTTCAAGCTTCTCTTGGTGTATTAAGGTAATACTAATCAATCATGCACCAATTCATTTTTTTATTTTTATTTTTAAATTGAATAAAATAAAAGAGTCATATTTAATTATAATTTAATTATGATAAATTTGTTATGAGATCTTATTTATTCATAATTTTATTTTAATTTTTTAAAATATTATTATAATCTATCTTGTGTACCTTCAAAAACGGTTATGTGTTTTTCTAGCTTTGAATGCTTGTGCATGTTTATATAAGAAAATATTTATATAAAAAAGAAATTATAAATAAAAATATTTAATGAATAAAAACAAATAACCTCTCTCTTTGTGTAAAAAATAAATTAATTAATGGAAAGTAGAAATAAATTGGTTTTCACTTCAACTTTTTGTCTAGTTTATTCCAAGCTTCTCTTGGTGTATTAAGGTACTACTTATCAATCTTGCACTCATTTTCATATTTTCATTAAAATAATTGGAAAAATAAATTAAATTTGAAGCTTTTAAATATGTAAAATTATCATATTATTTTGATGAGATGGGAGATCTCGTTATCGGATTGGTTTGAACCAACATTTGATTAAAAAAAGATTTCTATTGATTTGATTTGGTTTTTAATATTTTTAAAAAATAGAATCGAATCAAATTAATATATTCGATTCGATTTTGTTTTGTTTGGTTGATCGGTTTATAATTTTTTTTTAAATATTATATTCATAAGTGTATTCTTTATTTGATATTTTTCAATGTATTTTATGTTATTATTTTTTTAAATAATATATTTCATTTAATTTTTTTCATTTTTTTTCTCCAAACAAACTACAAGTTATTCTTAATCTATATGAAATAGTTACATGATTTCTATTACATCATGAAATAAGTTTACTATCAAATATAAAAGTTAACACTTAACATCATAATATTTGAAAAACATTTGAAAGCTTAACAAATAAACAAATATTAATTAACATGTTTCACACTTCAAACACATATCAAAACTATTTCAAACACGTATCAAAACTATTTTCTAACAAGAATAGAAGAAATTTTGTTGAAAAAGATGAAATAAAAAAGGTTAAAAAAAATGAAAATTAACTAAGAAAACTTGAAAACGAAAAAGGCGATCATAACATAAAATTGATGATAGTGAGAGCAACAATGGTGGCGGACAGAAAGCAAAAAAAAAATTGACTTATGATTTTTACTCTCTATGTTTTAGAGTTTGATTCTAGAGACATGTTTTGCCAAAAAGAAAGAAGAGTAAGCAAAGATGGAAAATGGTTTGACCAATAAAAAAAATTGGGCTTAACGATAGTGAAATATAATATTTAGAGCATAATTATTTTTATTGATTAAGTTCATTGATTGACGGTTCCTAAATATTAAAATCGAAAATCGAATCAAACCATATTAATTTTTATTGATTTAGTTCGATTTTAAAATCAAATCAAAAACAATTAATTTTAATTCAATTTAGTTTGATTTGAATCGTCTGTTTCATTATATTTTGTTGATCCGCTTATATCCCTGGATCTCTTTCAACCTCAAAATTAGTACAAAATTAGTAATTTGAGTTAGAACGGTTTAAATTTTTAGAAATTTTAAAAATTCTATATTGTTAACTATAAATCAAGCGTAACATATTATTTAATTATGACATTATTTATGATATCTTATTTACCTACCATTTTTATAAAAAAAATTAATTCTGTATGTTATAATTCATTTTAAACACATTCAAAATGGTCCTGATAATATTTATATAAAAAAAATTACAACTAAAAATATTTACGATTAAAAAACAAATAACCTCTATGTGTAAAAAATAAAAAGAGAAATAACCTTTGAAGGTGTATGCAGGCTAGGATTTGTAATTGATTTTCTATCAAAGGCAACATTGGTTGGTTTCATGGCTGGTGCTGCAATAATTGTGTCACTTCAACAACTCAAAGGATTGCTAGGAATTCTTCACTTCACCAATAAGATGCAAATTGTTCCTGTATTAGCCTCTGTTTTCAAGCAAAGAGATGAGGTATATTTTTATTTTCATATTATTTTTTATATTTAAAATATACATATTAAATATAAAAAATTCTACTAATTAACTAGTCACTACAAATGCATCTTTAAAGAATTACATTACAAAATTTTAGTGGAGAGTATTTTAAAAAGGAACGGCCACTAAATTTTCTAATTACTATATAATGAAATTTTTTCATGTTGTTAAAAGTCTAATATATTAATATTAGTTGGAAGAGCCGTTTCAAAAAAAATAAATATACTTTTATTTTTTACTCAAAATATTTATTGGAAGAGTAAAAAATAAATTAATCCCCACTACAAAACTTTTCAAAACATTCTTATAGCATTGATTCTGTGTTAAGAAATATAAGAAGAATTAACATTTTGATTTAGATTGCTTACCAAAAGCCAACTACTTTTATATAGATATTACTTAATTTGACTTTTTTATTATCAAGGGATCATATTCCAATTATTATGATTTTCTAAAAAATATTCCAATTATAATCAACAACAAAAAATATTCCTTTTGTTTTTAACTTTCTTGATAAAAAAATTATTCCTTTTTTCTTATTCTTTCATGAATGGACATATTGAATATTTAGCCAATTAAGGGTCACATTCAAATGAAAATGCATATTTGTCCTATAGATGCAAATTTGCTAATATAAGTGCAATGTATTATAAGCCCTTTAGATATCATATTTTAAATATTTTTTTCTTGCCACTTTTAAATAAAAATATATATTTATCATATTAATAAAAAAAATTAAGTGTAATGTAAATGAGATAAATGTCCTTTAAAAATATTTAGAGATCATATCCTAAATATTTAATATTTTTTATTTCAAATTTTAAATAAAAAATATATATTTATCATATTAATAAAAAAATTAAGTCTAATGTAAATTACATAAATGTCCTTTTTTTTTTTGCAGTGGTCATGGCAAACAATTTTGCTAGGAATTAGTTTCCTAGCCTTCTTGCTAACAACAAGACACATTGTAAGATTCTTCTTTCAAATTTCATTTTAAAAAAATGGATTTTATTTAAATTTCATTTGTTTCTTAAGAAAATGAAAATTCTAATATATGATTTTATATTGTGACAGAGCATGAAGAAGCCAAAATTATTCTGGATTTCAGCAGCTGCTCCATTGACTTCAGTTATTCTTTCAACAATTTTAGTCTTTTCAATGAGACATAAGATCCATAAAATAGCAATTGTAAGTATAGTTTCTGTCAAAATTATATTGGCACACAGTAGTCAGAGGTGGCAAAATTGACACGTCAAACGAGTCTGGTCAATCAAACATGTTTTTCTTCTATATTTTCTTTATGGGGTGGATTATGATTTTAGACTCACACCTTCTAATATGTTCGCTCCATCCAATTTTTAGTTTTTAGGAGTGCAACGCCAACATACCCGCTCCGCCCGCATTTATTTCTAGCCAAACTACGGTTTTAGGCCAGCAAACCCGCTCCACCCCAGGGCCGGCCCAAGGGCCAAGCCACCTAGGCTAGAGCTTTAGGCCTCAAAAGATTAGGCTTAAAAAAGGCCTCAAATTTTTTATATTTAATTATAATAATATATAATAACACAATAGAAACATTAATTATCATAGTTGGTTAGTAAGATTTAGACTTCTTTTCCTTTTGGTGTTGAGTTCAACTCTTAGCAACCACAAAATTACTATTTTAAAATACGTTTTAAAGGCCTCATTTTAAAATTTTCTTTAAACCTCCAATAGGGTTGGGCCGGCCCTGCTCCACCCTCATATTTTCGTTGGAAACCAAGGTTTTAGGTCTGCATGCCTGCCCTGCCTTCATTTTTTTTTTTGGCGAGTCGAGGTTTTAGACCAACGTACTTGCTCCGCCTTAATTTTTTCGCTAGACGGATCAACATTTTACACCCGCATGCACATTTAATTCAAACATTCTAAAACACACAAGATGTTAAACATAAATAACCTTATTAATAAATCTCTTTTTTGTTGTGTTTTGGTTGGAAGATTGGTGAATTGCCAAAGGGAATTAATCCACCATCATCAAATATGTTATTCTTCAATGGTCCTTATTTGGCTCTAGCTATCAAAACAGGACTTGTCAGTGGAATCTTGTCTCTCACTGTAAGCTTTCTCAAACTTAGTAGAATCACTTATCGTATTAAGTGCTTATTTATAAAGCCATTTCCCAAAAACAACTCAACTTCCTTATTTTTCAGGAAGGAATTGCAGTTGGAAGAACATTTGCTTCACTTAGGAACTACCAAGTGGATGGAAACAAAGAAATGATGGCTATTGGTCTTATGAACATAGCTGGTCCTTGTTGTTCATGTTATGTCACAACAGGTAATGATCCATTCATCACAGGTAGTTAATAAACAATCGAATTCCCGAGAAAATTTCGATTCTGAATATAAAACAAACTTGCAGGATCGTTTTCTCGATCTGCCGTTAACTACAATGCTGGAGCACAGACAGCAGTATCGAACATAATCATGGCATCAGCAGTTCTTGTGACACTTCTGTTTCTCATGCCGCTGTTCTATTACACGCCGAATGTTATCTTGGCAGCCATTATCATCACCGCTGTTATCGGTCTGATCGATTTTCAAGTAGCTTATAAATTGTGGAAGGTTGACAAGCTTGATTTCTTGGCGTGTTTGTGTTCCTTTTTCGGTGTTCTCTTCATTTCAGTTCCAATAGGCCTTGGAATCGCGGTAAGCTTAAAACTCAACTGTCATATCAGTAAAAAATTTGATCAGTTATGACTTGTCGACAGAGTATAACTTTCCGATTCTTTTTAGGTGGCGATATCGGTATTCAAAATCCTGCTTCATGTTTCTAGGCCAAACACATTGGTTTTAGGAAACATTCCAGGCACACCAATATTCCACAACCTAAATCAATATAAAGATGCTCTAAGGATTCCTTCATTTATCATTTTGGCTGTTGAGTCTCCCATATATTTTGCCAATGCAACTTACCTGCAAGAAAGGTTCGATAATACTCCCTCTCGAGTCTTTGACTTAAACATAAGTTAAAAAGTACATGTTTCTGGTCTGCGTTTTTGGACCAGATACGTGTATTTAGTATAAGACGATGTGTATGCTTATGAAGTTTTGTGCATTTTCAAGGTTCTAACTATTTTGAGTTCTTCTCTTGTTTTAGAATACTGAGATGGGTCCGAGAAGAGGAAGAATATGTAAAAGCAAACAATGGAAGTATGTTGAAATGCGTTATTTTAGACATGACAGGTATGTATTTCGTTTTGCTTGCAAAGTTTGTTATCGAAGATTTGTGATCGTTTGGGATAAACGCGTTGTGTTTTTTCTTTTCTTTTTCAGCCGTGACAGACATAGACACAAATGGAATCGACACGTTATGTGAACTTAGAAGGAGACTGGAGCAAAAATCACTCCAGGTATCTATCTACAAATCTGGTGCACGCATAGCTCATGCGCGACACAATTGAATGACTCACGTAGTTTTCTTTCTAATCTTTACATTTTTGATTGATTGGTGCAGCTTGTGTTGGCGAATCCGGTGGGAAGTGTGATGGAAAAATTGCACGAGTCAAATATTTTGGAATCCTTTGGAATGAAAGGATTGTATCTCTCGGTAGGAGAAGCCGTGGCTGACATTTCATCATCATGGAAAGCTCAGCCTTGATGAAGAAGCTTCATAGATGAACTTTAAGCAGTTAGACAGAAAAAGATTATGGCTTCTAACTTTCAGCAGTTAGACAGAAACTAAGACTGAAAGTTTTTTGCCTAATGAGACATTCCACTTTGTTTAAATTAAAAAGTCTTCAAGGCATTTGTTTTTAATTAGTAGGGTTTCTTATTGTAGGATTCTACTTTAATTTATGTATGTATTTTGTTACTCTTGTCCATTTTTGGCTTTAGTTGGAGAAGAAAGAGCAAACAATAAAGAACTATTGTAATGACTTCATTATGTGGACATTGAGAGATAAATATCAATAGATGTTTTAGATTTTTAAAATAGCTCACACAATTCTGTATGTTACACTATTAGCAGTCGCTATAAGGTAAATAGCGGAACAGAGCGGTTCTCAGCTCAGAGCGGTTTCTAGTTCACTATAAGGTAAATATCATAACAGAGCGGTTCTCAGCTCAGGACGGTTTCTAGTTCACTATCTTTTTCACTTCTTAAAAACTAAAATAAATTACTCCTTAAATATTTAAGAATAATTTAGATTTTCAATCAAAATTAAGTTGGCATTCAATCTTGACATCCCTTTAAGGATAATTTTGAAATTTTCTATCAAATTTAAGATGAGATTCAACCGGTTGTTTATGCACTTCAAGAGTCGTGTAATTTAATTTATGAATATTTTATGAATTGAGTTATTTGTTTAATTTGACATCAAACATATGTTTAGAGTTACTATATGTAATTTGTCCAAAAAATATCAAATAGAGCAGTCATCATATACGCTATCCCACTTTTGGGATCGGCCGATCTGTGTCACTATCCGGGTATGACTACTCTAATTCAAACTCTATCTATATTCCAATTTCCAATATGAAAATTCAACCTCACATAATGCATGAATAGCAAATAAACTATACTTAGAAAGATCAACCACAATTGTGTTATTCATCAATCAATCAAGAAGTTAAAATGCAAATGTTATTGAGATTCATTCTCCAATCTGATACAACAACACCCTTTTAACAGCAATGACAAAAAACAAATAGATCCGATAGCTCACAAAGAGGGTAAAAAATAGAAGCTCAATCAACTTTAACCGACATCGCTATAAGGAATGGACAAAAAACAAAATAGAATGAGAATAACCTACATAACACTTTCAGAACTTCCTGGAAATTATGTACCTAATCTCGGTCTGGTTATCTATGTTTAAACTCTATTGCAGCTAAAGAATAGAAAAGTAAATGAAGCTCTTCCAATGGCATAATAGAACAACTATGCGCTACATGGGCTTTATCTTCGAGATCATCCGTATATAGAAGCAAAAGATGTTATCATCCTGCGGTACAGCTCCTTTCGTAAATTCAGGACTCGAGTTACTTCTTTCTGTCAATCAAACATCTGAAAGAATTTGAATGTATTAAATCACAGACCAAAATTTATCAGTTTAGAGATGATAAGAAAAAATTTATAGAGCAAGTCCTGTTAACTGTAAAGTGAGGAAAAAAGTAGAAGGAAAACTTCTCTGCCCTGTGGTAGTAGCCATCCCAGTTCCCACTACCCTTATAAACATGTCGCTCTCGAGTTTCCACATCATAAAATTTAGGTTGGTCTAACTCAACTCTACAAAACCAGTTTATAAGATAAAAGCAACTCACGCTTTATAATCATTACTTAGGCCGTATCTCTAGGCTATGGGAAAAAAAACCTCTTAAATTTTGGATTGGTACTGATTTGTAAGGTGAGGGATGCTTGCCACTTATAGCCTTTTCTAGTCATATCTCATCCGATGTGGGACTCTTAACACAACCTCCTCACACCCAAGACTAGATATCATATCTGGAGCATGATTCTAGTAGATCGATAACGACCCTACCTAGTAGCTCGATAACAGATGGCCCAATGGGTTTGGATATACTCAAATACCATCTAGAATTTGAAGTAGGCCTAACTTAATACTACAGAATCGGCTTGTAAAGTGAGGACAACCCAAGTTTTATAAGCATGAACAGGGGCATACCTCTATTCTCTAGGCAACGTGGGGGACTAAAACCGCATTTTAAAATTTGAGTTGTGCCTAATTTAACCCTACAAGGCCGGGTTGAAAGGTGGAGGATGACTACCACTAATAAACTCATTTTCAAGTCATATCTTATATCCAAAGCGAGACTCTTAACATATTACAACACCCCTATCTCAACTCTCCCACTGCCACCAGTCCATGTTGTCATCCCTTTCCCTCAAACCCAACTTTTCTGAGTACAGTTATGTTTTTCCCCCATTCCTTCATCTCTTCCTTCTGAGATAAACAGACAAACTTAAAGGCCAGCCAGCGAGTTAGAGGCCCATCAATAACCGCCGCTATCAATTTAACTTTTGTTCTCAAGGTTAAGGTTTGTAAAGAAGCCAGCAAGAGATAGTATCCCTAGACCCGATTGTTTGAAGCACAAGAACCAACTTATATATAAGGTGTGAAAATGTCCATTTAGATCTCATTTTTTAAGATGGCTCGGGGCACCAATCCTCAAAATCAAGGCTGAATACAATTATTACCCAACTCAAACAATTCTCTAGTCTACTAAAATATTCTATAGGGAAAAGAAAGGTGAGAAGGAAAAGAAAGGTGAGAAGGAAAAGAACAGCAAGCAAAACATATAGAATATGAATTATTTTTTATTATTCCTAAAGTAAATAGAGTTTAACAGTTTAAACATATACGCATTAAATTCAAAAACGAGTAAATTATATAGTCCAACATCCAAAAACGAGTAGATTCTTACTTGAACGATATCGTGGTATCTTTATCTCCTGGAGTTCGCGTTTCATACACAGATATTCACCTAGCAAAGCCATTACAGCAATTCCAGTGCCATTCACAATCCACCATGTAATAGAAGAGGGCCAACCCCCGTACACAATACATATGAAAAGATGGATGATATAGAGAGTGGCTGAAAAATCCAAGCACTTTTTTGATCTTTCAATCAAATAAAGCATATACACAGCCCTGCAAAACAAAGTCGGTGGTGTTAGTAGTGCAACGTAGAGCCACGGTTTAATTAACAAGCCGTATATGCATAGCAGCTAAGAATGCCCCTATTGAATCCTTTCACTGCACAAGGTAATCACATAATAACAAAACCCGTATTTGACAGGGTTAAATCTAAACCATTAAAATTCAATGGAATTCAAAAATAAGTAATTTCCTTTTTCTAACATACTAACCAAACACAAGAATTGATTTCCAGTTCCAGAGACCCTCTCAGAAAATCTAAACAAAAGAATTAATTTCCTTTTCAAATATTCTATCAAACAACACATATGTAATGTCATAAGATAAGATAAGCTCAAATAAACTCTTCCAAAAACAAAAACAACAACAATAACAATAACAACAACAACAAAGTCTTATCCCACTAAATAGGGTCGGTTACATGGATCAACTTTCGCCCTAATGTTCTATCAAGGATCATGCTTCTATCCAAATAATTAATCTCAAAATCTTTCTTAATAACTTCTCCAATAGTCCTTCTAAGCTCTTCAAAGACATCATCAGAAAATCACAACAAAAGACTATTGTGATTTAACATAAACACATAATAATTACGAATCCGTGCAATAGGATATCATCAAGAAAGCTACTATTCGAACAATTAAGGCGGAAAAGAATAATTACCCCGCAGCTGAGCTGAGCAGAAACGAAGCAGCAACGCACCAACCAGTAACGGTAGAGGTAGAAACGGTAACATAGTCAAAGAAATACACAAGGCTCAATCGAGAAACACGAGTGCCAACAAAAACGGTTAACAGCATTCCAAGGGTGACATAATACATACATTGAAGACAAACAATTTGAGCAACAATAAGCCAAGGATCCCATACCACTGCACCATAGAACATGACTCCTACCCAAAACAAGAAACCCTAATCTCTAAATTCCCAAATCAAAATCAAAATCAAAAACCCAATTCTAAAAACTTATACTTTTTCCACTCACATCGACCTAGTTACATAAATCTCAATAACCAAAGCCGCAACACTCTTCATTACATAAAATTAATCAAAATTCAAAACCCCAATTGCCTTAAAACAGATTCAAAAACCCAAATCAAGGTTGTTGCGTTTAACCCCAAACGCAAACAATGAAACACGTTCTTTCAGATCTGGATTCTGGAACCAACTGTAAAAAGAAAATCACTGTGATTTAAACGGAATTGTAAATTTCATGATTGATGGAAAAATTGAAGAAAATTAAAAATTTTCCTATTTTCTGGCAATAATATAGCATAGATTGATAGAATTTACCGAAACTTAGAAGGAATTGTTGGAAAGGAAATTGAGGAATCGGTGAGAAAGGGTAAATTTGGGAATTTGCACAATGCGTGAAGTTCAGAACAGAAGTGTCGTTTTGGCTATGTTGTTGCCGTTTTCAATACTAGTGCTTTTTTTTTTTTTTTTTTAAATAAGACAAATATATATATAAAATAAAAAAGAAATATAAAGAATCGGGGACCTAAATCAAAACTTATCAAAATCACGAAATTAGATAATAAATACACAACTTTCATCAAAGAAATTAGTTAGACAAGTACCCACCTTAAAATCTTTGCCCGCCTCTAGCAAATTTTTCTTGTTTTTTCTTTTTTTTTTTTGGAATCACCAATTAAAAAAATTAACTTGTGTTTTTATCCAAATCAACAATTTCAACACTTTTATTCATGTTAACCTAAGATTCACTTAGAAATTCATAACTTGTTGAACATTTGAATCTCAATCTTGATTCTTATTATTTTTTCTTTACTCAATGGTAATCTATAACATCTAAACCACGTAAATTTTCATTACTTTGGACACCCAAGTCTCCTTAATATAATGTATCATTATTTATAATATTCTCATTAACAATGATTTTCAAACTATCAACGGATCCTACAAGAAAATTATTATCAACACATGTAGCATTTCAATCTTGTGTAATGTTTATTTTGAATTTTTATTAATGGTAATAGATACATAGATCTTAGCAAATTGTTTACAAATCTCTCCTCTACCATGATTATGTTAATCAAATTTTTTTTTTTTTATTTTGTACGTTTAATATAATTAAATAGTAAACATAAATGTATAATTATTATATATATATATATATATATATATATATATATATATATATATATATATATATATATATATATATATATATATATATATATATATATATATATACTGACGTTGTAATATAATTTTATATTGTCAAACAATCGCAGTCATGTTAAGTGACAAATCATATTATTATTTTTAAATAAATTATATGATGATTAAATGATAATTTTTTATTAAATAAGAATATAAAATTATTTTATATTGTTAAAGTATTATCTTTTAATTTAATATATTTTTATATTAAATGATGTTTTTATATTTAATAGTCAAACATAGAAACCATTTATATTATCCACACAAAAAAAACGAATAATGTTATTTATCACACGGGAAATTAATTTCATGAGTATAATAAATGTCTAAAAATTATAGTAGAGGCTTATTTCATTGTATTATATTTAGTAGTAATAATTTTTTTACAATTGGGTGAGACCTAACCCACTTCATCTTTTCACCTTATGATTTCTTTCGTACCACTTTAAAAAGACTAAAATATTATCTTCATAATATGCTATATTAGAAGAAAATAGAAACTAGATAAAAATAGAAACATACTGAAACAACAATGATAAAATAAAATTGAACCAACATAAATTAACTCCAAAATGGACATTATATAGATAAATATTATATGAATTTAATATTATATGTTATTAAAAATAGGTGATTTGGGAAGTTGTAACATTCTTATAATATCTTCGGTTGATATTTGAATTGTCACATCCACTTCACTCGAACCTTTTGTTGAGTAATAGTAAAAAGTATTTCACATCACCTTCAAATCATCATTCGTCTTCAGTTTAAGCAGTGTGGATTGTATTTTCCCCTCATTATTTATCGAGGGTGAATGATACTCGAGCTTGACAACTTTTTGATTTTTTAAATATCGCAGGAGAGTATTCAATTTGGTTTTCAGATCAACAAGAAGTATGTCCCAGCGGTTCTGAAATTAAAGTGGAGGATGTATGTCATTGAAATACACAAATGTAAGATGAGGATATGTAGTCATTCTGGCTTGTGTAGATAAAATGGATTGAGAGACCTTATGTATAGAATTTGTAGAGTAATAAGGATCTTACATATATGATCATGTCTGCAAGAAATACTTCGGAGATACATCTCAAATCCGCCTTATTTTTTTCAAAAAATAAGAGTCTGTCCGGATATGCATCTCCGGATGATCCTTTGTTTTATTTTTTAAAATTAATAAAGGGGTATCCGGAGATGCATCTTTGGATCCATCCAAAAATTATACAGAACAAAACCATGCTAATTTTGTATAGCATAATTTGAAAACAAAAAATGTTCAAAAAATACCACCCAATTTTATAAACTTATGTAGTGTATTACTTACAAAAAAGCGTGTTACATTATTAGATTACAACTAAAATGCATCAAAAATTGAGCCTCTACCTAAACTAAATTTGTGGCTTAATCTTCGACCTTTCCTTATTTGTTTCTCGTTCAATGTCACTAAGTTTGGTGAACTCTTCCATACTTTCAAGAAAGCGATATGATCATGTTTCAACATCTTGTGTGAAATGTATCGTCAACTCTAATGATGTATTTGATATAGGACATCCCAGATTCAAATAAACCTGAACAAAATGTTGTTTTTTTATAACCCATCAATACACAAATGTGTTCAGGTGGATTATGAGGTGGCTTACTCCGTAGTGGAAATAATATTTCCGAGAAACCACATCGTGTTAAATCAACGCACACCCTATCATAATCACTTGCTATAAGATGTCTTACTTTCGGAAAGCGCATCCATTTGTCAAACGGAGTCGAGCCACAATTACAAGGAACAAGAGAATTGAGAAGTGTATCGTAATTTGCTTTGTTCTCGTATAGTTTTATGCATGCTTCCTTATGCATCGTCATCTCTTGTATAAGATGTCAACAAAAAAATTAGTGGTCGTTCTCTCCCTTACCGAGTAAACTCGAAACAACTCAAAAACCACAATTGTCGTCACTTTCAACATTTACAATCCACTCATTGTATTTGTGCATAAAAAACAACATATCTTCAAGTATTTTTATTTTTGGTAACGATGGTTGATGAGATAGTTTACTAATGTACACACTCTTGAAACCACTTTTTTGGGAATTTGGATTGAAGAATCTAGGAAATATGAGTCAACATGTTCAAAATATGAAGGAGACAGTCTCGTGGAGTTGTCACTTTTATCAGTTTTATCTTTTTAGAGACACATTTTATTTTAACTAATTCTGACTGTGGTTTTAAATCTGTTGTTTTTGGATATGCAATCTTCTTAAGTTACTATATGATGTGCAATTTCATGATGTCGTCAGCTTTCATGAATCTCTCTTGGATCACTTTCCAATCGGCCATGATAGATATATTTAATTTATCATCCTTCCTCACACCATCATCATTAAAATGGAGTCGCGTCCAGTGAGTGTAAACTTCGTCCATAAGTATTAGTTTTTCATGTTCCACCTTCTTTGAAATTAAACAAGCACATGGAAGACCATAAGTCTTTCTAAGTGGGCATTCATACTTTGAGCTATCAAAACCTATTTTATCTGTTCGTTTGGCATCATGAAAAATAAAATTCAATGTCTCCTAGGATACATTATCAACCAACTGTAAATAAATGATGTTGTCTTTGAATCATTGTTTAACACAGTAATTCTCCGACCAAAATATATTTGTATCTCATTATGTTGGTTTTGGAGCATTTGGTTTATGGCATTCTAATCTCAATAAAAATCACATTTACATTTTCCAAACCAATTTTTTCAGCCTAGCATGTGCAGATTCAACTTTGTTAGTTGTTGTATTGCTAAAGTATTGGACATGATTGGTCCATACACATATAATCTTCTTTTTAACTGCTCTAGAATCGTGCCCTCAACATATTTCAGCAAATCTGGGTATATCATGCATACACTCCTGAAATATAGAATAGATTCGACATATAATTCTTTTGTGGAAGAATTTATTATAATATTCCATTCATCTATTGTCTTTTCCATAACCACACTAGGTTTTACAATTTTACCATCTTCACCATTGACTTATTTCATACCAACCGCAAGTTTTACTCTACTTCTCACATTTTTGGTTATGTGGTACTTACAAAGTAATGCAGAAGAAGTAGGAAACACTGTTGCAACCAAATTCATCAGTGTAGTGTCATGATCAGTGATTATGACTTGTGGCATATTTTCTTGGCCCTTCAACATAGTGATGCGTATTTCTAAAGCCCGTGTAACATTGTCCTCTTTTTCAGATTCCAAAAAGGAAAAATCGGCTAAATAAGTCATCTTTGTAGAAGTAACACCAACAATTTCCAAGAGTGAAAATCTATACCTGTTTGTTTTGTATGTTGGTTCAGTTATGATCAAGAAGGTAAAGGTGTTTAACAACTTCACATAATCAAGATGACTATAAAATATATCTCGAATAGTGACTTTATCATCAAAAACTTTGTACCTTGAAGCATAGTTGTCATCTTTCAAAAGCTTCAACAATTGTTGCATCTTAGATCTTGGTCCTCTTACCGCCTTGTTGTCTAAATCATGTGTGTTGTACCTCAAAATTTTTCCTCCCATTTTCTTAAAGACATTCTCCTAGGGTTCTCAAATGCTCAAGGATGCTCAAGAATTGATCAGACAAATTCTCCTCCTAAGCAATGGGTCCACAACTAGGGTTTCATTTTTCACAAGGAAATTTTGGTTTCTAAGGTCTCAAATGGAATTAAAGATCTCTTATAGGTCTCCAAGAGTGCTCATACCAAGTTTCATGCCTTGCATCACAAGTTTGCTCAGTCAATTGCTCAGATGATTGAAAATTAACTGATTTGGGTAAAAGGTCAATTATGGTCAACATACAGTCAAACTTCAATATTTTTGGTCAACATCAACATTTTGAAGTCATATTCATCATTTGATCAAGGTTTGATCATGATTCATTAATAATACTCTCAAAATCTTCAAAAGTCAAAAGTTGCCAAATTAGGGTTTTCTTAAGGAGAAGTCGACTGAACTTTGACCAAGCATAACTTTCACATGCTTCATCATATTTTCCTCAACCAAAGCTCATTTTTAAGGAAATCAAATTCTCTATAACTTTGTCTCTCTAAGCTCAATTCCAAAAATGCTTCATTTGAGAGATATGGACCAATATATTATAGGTCATTTCAAAAATCAACAAAAAGCCATTTTTTGTCATGGAAACTTACATCAAGATAAATTCTTCAAATGAAAAAATGGTCAACATAGAGATTATAGAGGACATCTTGATCTTTCTAAAAAGTCCAAGATCATATTCAAATAATGAAAATTGAGAGAGTTATGACCAGTGCAAGTTGGGAAATTTTGAGCAAATGTATGAAGTTCAAATTGAGCAAACTTAAATTTTTGGGCTAGTGGGCTTATGATTCTAGATCCATGTGTGTTTTACACCTCAAGATGAACTTCAGAGCTTACTCATACACCCCCTTTGGGTTTATTATTTATTTTGGATTTTTTATTTATTTAAAATTCAAAATAAAAGAAATAAGATAAAATTTCTTACACAAGGTCCAAGCTCATAAAATCTAACCTAATACACCCTATATATATATATATATATATATATATATATATATATATATATATATATATATATATATATATATATATATTCAACATGTTCATTCCAAGAGGGGGCGGTTTTGGGGACAATAAGAAACACTAGGGTTTGAAGGAGGAAAAGTTCCAAAGATATCAAACCATCAAATCACCACTCCCAGCCAGTTTCATACAAGGTCCAACACTGCAACCACTTTTTGAGCATCCAAGGAGCACATCAAGGCTATTTTTTCAAGGCACACGTACCAGATCAAGCATATCCTTCATTGTTGGTTGAGGTATAAAA